TTCCTCTAGACTTTAGGGGATAAATATTTGGTTTTGTTTGTAAGTGCTTCTCTTCTCAGCTTTCTGCTGAGATTACAGTGAAGTCTATGCTCAGTTTTACTATCCAAACCAGCAAAAGGTAGCTCACGCAAAGCTGAGTTGCAGACCAAAGATAAAGGTAAGCTAGCAAAACCAAGTACGCCCTGAGAGTGCTACATGTAGAAGGACTTATGAGTACTCTCAACTACTATGAATGCTCTTGTTCATAGTCCCTAAGAGGATGACACTGCTCCATTTTTAAGGGAATATTTTCCAAGTGGCTGCATTAAAAACCTCCCTTTGTTCATATACTCATAGCAAGGGAATGTAGGGCAAGACTGTAGGGTACTTTAGCAGATTATCTCTGGCTACAAGATTTTGCCTCCACATTTAGCATTTTATCATTCATTCTTATATTTCACACAAATGGGTGAAATTTGCAAAATATTCAAAGCCTGTATCTTGCTTGTCACTGGAACTCCCAACAGGTTGAATCAACAAAGTTAAGGAATCATACTGGAATTGAGACATTAGTACTACAAAGTACATTGGTGTTTTTCCTATGAATTATAAACACGGCTATTGGTGCCAATAGAAGTGTGCTAACATTTCGGTCTCTTTCAGCAAAAGGATCAAATAGTGCTTAAAAGAAGCAATACTAGGAGTATAAGAAAAAAGACTTATCAAAATGCATTCCAAAACTCGTTATTTGGAATCAACCTTGAAGTTACAAAAAGCTGATATATGCATTTGGAGGATTCCTACCAGTTAATTTAGATGTATTATCAATCAACACATTGGAATCTTCTTCCAGATGGAGCTTCTCACTGTTGCCAAATATATCCTACTTGTGAATATGAAATCAGACAACATATAAAAGGAGCTTGTCCTCACAACATCATTTCAGTCATCAGTGGTCTTAATCAGTCCTACTACAGTTTTGTCCAGTTCATCTACTGAAAATACTAAACTCGATTGTATAAGCTAATACTCAGAAACTCTGAAACTTAAGGCAGAATAAATAGGCTTCAATAGTTCTGTACCTTTTATTCCCTTACATGCAAAGAGACAATGACAGTTCTTTACATTGCACAGAGCCCATTACTACATCCCACTCATTATAAGCACTTAGCTCACTAAAAATGCTTTAGTCATAATCCAGCAATTCACAGCCAGGACTGCTAATCCATATTAACTGAAATCTAGTGGTTTTTAAATCTTCTTTTAGCACAATCTGCTTATTAAAAACCTCAGTGTAGTATCAGTCAGACTACTAACTGTTGCAGTAAAGTCTCAGAGCTATTTTAGAAAACAAAAAGACACCTAATAACTGAAGTGCTAGCTGGTTTTCTGTTTAGAAATTATTGAAGTACCTTTACGTACAGACTCAAAAGAGAAAAGCACAAGTCAGTTCTTTGAGACATAAAAAAGAAATCCTAACAGAGTACATGAACACAACTGCAATTTACAGAGAAGGCTGGAATCAATTTGGGGGATGGGATAATAATGTACACATATTCATGAATACTGTTCATGGAAGACATCCAGGAGGCCCCTACTAGCAGCTCATCTAAAAGAAGCTATTTAATTTTTTCTTCCTGGAATTAGTTATAGTCTCATGCAGTCTTAATAAACTCATAAGAAATTAATGATGCATTCAGAAGCTATCTAGGAGCAGAAATGAAACTATGCCACTGACTCAGAGATGAAACTTCCAAAGGATAGAAATGGCAGCAGTTAAACAGTCTGAAAACAAAGTTAAGTCTTACCCAATCAAGTGTTCTGAAAATAAGAGTAAGTTTTGAAAATATTCCTGAAATAAATGAGACATTGTAAGGCTCAAAGTGAATTATATTACTTAGAGCAGGCTAAAAGAAACATGAAGATGTAATTTTTTAACCTTGACAGGGGAAGGATTATTTTAGTTTGAAAACCTGAAAAATGAAAGGTCTATTTAAACAGGGCTTGTATCAGTCTTGATGACAGAATATAGAAGATTAAAAAAAAATACAGAAAGTTAAAGCTATATTTTTAATCCACTTTTTCCAAACATCAGTGTATGGAAGATAGGAAAGCTGCATTAATTGAAGCACAAAAACATCCATTTATTAAGATGGCTATTTTTACTGAGCATTTAAATGTTAAGAATCCTTGGAAAGAAAACTAAGTACATAAAGATGGCTCAAAACATACAGAAGCCTTTGAATTAAGATGTTGAATACATTAGAGAGATAAATAAGAGGTATTTTATTTTAGCAGATAAATACTTAGTGCTGTTGAGAAAAAAAGTCCACTAACATTTCAGAAGTAGGTAATATAGATAGCAGTAATAAAAGTAAACAACTTCTGCCAGAATCCATAAAGACCTAATCCTTGCAGCAATATCAAAGTCTGGAGCAGTACTCATTAGAAATCAAGTATGTTCAAGTCTGTTTTCCTTTACAATCTCTTGCCAATTTGGTTTCTAGAACACCACCTTTGCAGAAGAAAACATGGTCCAATGCATTACATTCACACCCTCAGCAGAAACATAACAGAAGCTAAATAGAAGACATATTCCCTTATTCAACAGGCAATTACTATCTCAGTCTTCCACTAAGACAGACAAGAAATGAGATGGTTAATAGAAATTATTAAGATTGTGTTTTACAGGTCTGTGAACTCCATCAATGACAGCAATTCTCACTACCATCTTGGGCTGCAATCTCTGTGTTAGACTGCAGTCTGCACACATACACTAAAATAAAATTTTAAGAGCTCTTAAGTACATTGTTTTTCCTGTCATTTATGTAGTCATCAGAAGATGAGATTTGAATTTCTAGTGTCAAAAATTGGGCAAAAAATAGGCCAATATACACAACATGTCAGCTATAAAAATTAAACCAAACCAAAACCCATCTATTTAAATAAAGGGGAGTAATACTGTATCTGAATGAGTTCTTTAGAAATACAACCTTGCAAATGAACCTAGGGCATGAATTCTGAAATTATAGAATTGTTGCAAAAACATGCAATGCAGTAATGCATAGAATAATGCAATGCAGATTTGATGTTTTTATGCAAAAAATTTCATACACCTAAACTTCCACTCATTCTACAGTTAACAGCATTTATGTTTCTCATGGTCCATAGCTTATTCACAGTGAAATTCTAAATTCAAACTCCTGAAGACTTAGCATTAGCAGAGACTAGTGATACGCCCTTCCCTGACATGCTGCAGTAATTAGTATTTTACCATAGGTTTTATTGCCATGGTAAATAGCAATTTACCATAGCAATGAGAAAAATCAATGCTCAAGAAGCTGTGCTAAACCACAGGAGCAGGACAGTCATGAGATGGAGCATGATACAGCCATGATAAACAACATATGCATTTCACTAAAAAAATGTATGATGTTGATTAGTTATAGATACAGGTGTCAAAGTAAAAAAAATGGACAGTCCTCAGTTTCACTTCCTCCATTTCCCTCCTCTTCCAAACGCTTTATTTGAATTACCATTTTTGCACAAATGCTACAACAATTCACTTGGTGTCATCAATGACCCTAGCAGGATACTGAGGAAACAAGTCTACTGTTCTCTTACTATCTGACAGATATTCTGCTGTTTGCAAGGCAGGAAGCTTCTACGTTACACTAAGGAGAGAAAATTTCTAAGCCATTTATAAATATCTTCCTTTGATCCAGCTAAGGACACATTCCAAAATAAAGAAATAAAAAGTTTATTGAATGCAAATGCTTGTCAGGTGAATGCTCCCATATAATAAACATACCTTCCTCATCCAAAACCCACATCTCCTGCAGGAAATCTCTTAAGTAGAGAAACAGACTAACTACTTTTAGGACACTGCTTATAAAACTGATATAGCTGAAGATGCTTCCACAATAGCAGCCAGTAGGATCAACTATCAAGGCAATTCCTTCTAGCACTGCACGTCACAGACGTGCGGTCACATGTGAAAAGCAGTGATGATAAAGAGACAGATTATTAAAATCCAAGTATACCTCACAGAATTTCTCTAACAGTGCAGGTGGCAAAAAGTCCTGAAGCTTTAACTGAATGGGAGGCCCAGTCCAATTGCTTTGAACAAAGAGCTGCAAACTGCCCATGCCAAGTAGAAACATCAGCCTCTGCCTGCAATACAGATAAGAAAAGCAATTAGCAACATATTACATTTTTAATTAAGGCTACGAGATCTGGTAATTCCTACACTATCTCAAACCCCTCAGCCTTAATAATTTTTTTTTTAAAAATCACTCTTGTTAGGAAGATACAATGAATGTAGTATTCAAAAATGGACAGAGGAAACCAAAAGTCTTGGAAATATGTTTGCTTATAATGGTTGTAATTAATGACAAACATTTTGGAAGCAGAGTTAATTTGTATGTTTCAAAATTTAATGCTGTATGCAATTACCAGAGATCAGAAGATTAGCACAGGATGCAGATTATCCCATATTTGCCTACTGCACAGTTATGTTTTCTTACGATACATCTAATCCTCAGCATTTTCAGAAAAAAGATACTGCATTAGCATATGTTCCACAACAGCATGATGATTTTTCTTTCGATGCAGCTGCTTATTTTCACAATTAAATGAACATAAAAAAATTCAAAACTATAACTTCCAAGTTGATTCAGATACTTCAGCAGCAAATGTAATCTCATTCAATGATACTTTTTAATATAAATAATAATCTTTTATTATAAAAATGGAATTCAGAGGTTCTATTTCTTTCCTGAAGCTAAGTATGGCAAAAATTTCTGTATCTACAAAGCTAAGTTCACCTAACATTGTTATATTTTTTCTTTATGTACCCACAGTAGCAAACAATCTATTTGGTATACAGAAGGCAGGGCACCATCTCTCTGAATTAACTGGCATTTTACAGGTGTAGACTTTTAGATTTACATAAACTTCTCGTTTGTTTTATTATTCCTTAATGACTTAAAACCTTACTGTATCATAATCAGTCAAGTGCCAACAAGTGCCCTGTCACATATATAACATGCCTCCTATCTACAAAAAGTTAACATTTTAACTGTGTCGGGTTTATATAAAAATTGGTATGTTAAGGAGCATAACTGGACTGGAAAAACCCAGTCTTTTTTTTTTTTTTTTAATCTGTAAAACAGGAACTTAAGCAGTCTTCCAAACAGAAACAAAAGGATAGTGTTATAAAATCCCTAAAAAAAAAGTCAAATAGAAAAGCCACACACAAACAAGCGGCTGGTGGGCAAGAATGTGACAAAAGATGTAGAACAATAAAAAGCAGGGGTGGGGAATGCTTGTCTGAAAATAAACAAAAACACAGCAACAGGGTCTTCAGGAGTGTTAGAGAACAAGGACTGGTATAAGGAGTTCTTCTTGAACAACATAATATTTACTGGCTGTCATTATTCAGCTAGTAACTATCTAGCAGCAAATATAAATACCATTAAACTTCCAAATAATTCACTAACACAAAGCATTAACAGTTACTGTACACTTAATTATTACCATTACATATAAAACCACAGACATACATTTTCTAATTATTTTCCCATGATACACTATGCTTTAAAGCTTCAGAAAGATAACACACAGAACAATCAAATATCTCTGCACTGTGATTTGGCAAATGCACTTAGTCTTCTGAAGACTCATTTTCATTATTTTATCACTTACACTATTATTACTAGTAATAATTTTTATTTACTTAGCATTGACATTAATACACACGGCCGGCAAACTTGCCTTAAGTTTTCACACAGTTATATCAATGCAGAAGGCCTGTGGAAACACTGAAAACTGATTCTATTACTGTGGTTGATACACCGTCCCTCCACTGGCTAATTCATCATCACCCATTTATTTTTTTGCCACGTTTTCAGATCCATGACCAGCTTCCAGTCTCCTTATCACTCACTCTGTATCAGAAAGTCAAATCCAAGCTCTAATCCCCGCAAATGCTAGCCTTCCTTGCCTGTCCCTTTATTTCCCCCCAAGAAAACATTTAATTCTATCTCCCTGACTGCCCTTCACACTTACAACGCAGACCTGTAAATCACAGAATTACACAATTGTCATGGTTGGAAAGGACCTCCAAGATCACCTAGTCCAACCATCAACAGAAAAACACCAACAAAAAAAACCAGAAAAGAAACAAACAAAAACCAGCAACAAACCCTACAACCTCAGCCACTAGAGCATGCCCTGAAGTGCCACATCCACAACTTTCTTGAATGCCTCCAAGGACGGTGACGCAACCACCTCCCTGGGCAGGCTGTTCCAGTGCCTGACCGTTCTTTCAGTATAGAAATCCTGCCTAATATCCTATCTGAACCTTCCCTGCTGCAACTTCAGGCCATTTCCTCTGGTCCTCCTGTTATTTACTTGGGAGAAGAGACCAACACCCACCTCCCTAACATCTCCTTTCAGATAGTTGTAGAGGGCAATGAGGATTCCCCTCAACCTCCTCTCCTCCAAACTAAACATCCTCAGTTCCCTCAGCTGCTCCTCATGTTACTTGATCTCTAGACCCTTCACCAGCTTGGTAGCTCTCCTCCGGACATGCTCCAGCACCTCAATGTCCTTGAAGTGAGTGGCCCAGAACTAAACACAGCACTCAAGGTGCAGCCTCACCAGTGCCAAGTACAGGGTCACAATCACTTCCCTACTCCTGCTGGCCATGCTACTCCTGATGCAGGCCAGGATGCTATTGGCCTTTGTGGCCACATTGCTGGCTCATGCTCATCCAGCTGTCAACCAGCAGCTCCAGGTCCTTTTCTGCTGGGCAACTTTCCAGCCATTCTTCCCCAAGCCTGTAGTGTTGCCTGGAGTTGTTGTGACTGAAGTGCAGGACCTAGCATTTGACCTTATTGAATCTCATACAATTGGCCTTGGCCCATCAATACAGCCTGTCCAGGTCCCTCTGCAGAGCCTTCCCACCATCAAGTAGATCAACATTCCCACTCAATTTGGTGTCATCTGCAAACTTACTGAGGGTGCACTCAATCCTCTCATCCAGATCTTGGATAAAGATACTGAACAAGACTGGCCCCAAAACTGAGCCTTGAGGGACACCTCCCAAAGGCTGCCTGAAATTTGCTCTTCTGTACTGCCCGAAAAGTAACAAAGGAAGTACCCTGCTAGTGTCCTACTTACTGTAGTAGCCTACAAAGTTTATTTTCTATATTTACTTAGACATATGTCCATATACATCCATTTTTTTATCTTCCTTTCTCTATGTGAATGGGAGATTTTACTGACTTTTGGTTTTTTTTAAAACATTCTTTACTGCAAGTCAAGTACAACTGTGATCTGTGGTGTAAAATCATATGCTTATATACACTCTACTGTAATATTCATACTGCTATACCTAGTATTGCTAAATTCAAAAGAATAATAGAGAATAATGTATTAAAAAATAATGGATTTGTATATAATGCTAGAATTTACAAACAAAATATAAGTGAGAAAATACTCAATTGCCAGACCATGCTTAAGATGCAATTTGGTTGCAGGTTCTGATTTTGGGAGCGTTTCTTTTTGGTGAAGCCAGAAACTACATAAAAGAAGTTAAAGAATAATTACACACAATATTTTTTTCCATTCATATACAGCAAAGCAAGCTATAGAAACAGCAATAATTTATTCATTTTTATTTTATAGCACATCAGTTAACCAACCATCAGATGCCCCACAAAACATATCAGAAATACCCTCGAGTGTTCTGGATGGGAAATCATAACAAGCTTTATTGTATTTATTTGTTTTGGAAAGTTTGGTATTCATCTATATGTTAAATAAGGCAGAAGTAGCAAACACCTGGTCAATAAAATCAAGTGTTAGTGCTCATTTTGTAGCTCCTTTAGGTTTTGGAGCCTAACGTGATAAAACCTTCAAAGCTCTTTTTAAACAAGCTCATAAAAATATTTTATCTTTTCATTATGTCTTCAGCACTATTTCTTTCCAGCCTTTACTATCAAATTGTTTTCAGGCAATGAATGCACCTCCTTCTCATAGAGCTCAGGACAAAATAAAAAGGCATCCCCTCTCTACATGGGAAACACATACTAAACACATACTTTTTAGAAGATAACTTTTAACCAAAGAAGTGAGCAGCAACAGAAGGAAAATAATAAAAAACCCCAAACAAGCTCCTATTCAACAAGCTTATTGTAAGGAATACTTTCAGACTTCATTTTTAAGCCACAGAGTTCAAAAGTACCATAATGACAAAATGTCTGGGGCAGCAGAAGGAGAGAAGCAAACAGAAAACAGGAAAAGTTGCAGCAAGTTTTAAAATAGTGTTAAATATTTTCCTTACAGAACTGTGGATTTGAAAATGGAAAAAGTTACAGGCTATATCCAAAGTAATTACAGTCTAGATCCAAATTTTGAGCTGTTTTGCCCTCAAGCTGCTCACTTTTAGCTTCAGAAAAGGAACTCCTTAAGAGTTCTTTTAACACTATTATAAAAGTGTACTTTGTATTGTGCTTATACTGTGCTAAAAGAATAAGATTAACATTATCCAACTTTCTGATTAATTCAACTGCCATTGAGTTATTTAATCTCCAAAATTCCAACTTTCTGTTCAAGGAGAAAAGAGTATATTTGAACCTACCCCATTTACTGAAAGTCACAAGAAAATCAGTGTCTTACGGAATTTTTTGAGCTAGAACCTAGAAGTTGGCTGCACTTCCTTTGAATCACTGAACAGAAAAAGACATTTTTACCCATTAAAAAAACAGACAAAAACATTTTCACTACAGGCAATGGAAGGTCAGAGTGCAAAAGTTGCATTAATTCCTTCCATAAGGCAGTCACAGGTCACAGACCCTGCAGGTAGGAAAAATGACTAAATAACATATTTTAAGCTAGAAAGTCACTGAAGACAAATAAAATATTGCAGATCTGCCTTCCTGTCTTCTTGCAAGGGGGCTATTAATGCTGCCCAGAGTTGCACAGGGAACAGGAAAAACCTCAAAGACCAAAGAGCTGGAGTATAAGCATCTGAGGAACAAACTGCTTTGCCGTCTGCAGCAGGACAGCAGCAAAGTCCCGTAAGTGGCATATAAGCAAAGAAAAGCTCACAGAGGGAGCAGAAGACACATCATCATGACAGGATGCATATGAAGTATTAGTGAGTGCATGATACAGATTATTATCTTTTAAAAAGCTGAATGGTTCATAAAGGCAGCAACACGTACTTCAAGCAAAGATTAAGATCAGTATTTTGTCTATTTCAAGCCCTGACTAATCCTTCTTTGCTTGCTGCATTATTCAGAATAAACTACTGCAAGATGACAGAATCTAGCAATATTGAAAACTTCCTCTAGATTATGTTACCATCTAAACTTCAGCAGCACATTTAACAGCAACAGCACAAGTAAGAAAAAAAAATAAAAAGTGCAGAGACAAAATGCCCAGGAACAACCTCTAACATTCCAAATCAGAAAACAGGAGTGCATTGTATTGTGTACCACACTAGAAAATGTTAAGTGTCTGACACACTATGATCATGAACAAATCTCAGCTCAACTGAGTTGCCAACTATTTGTTTCTCTCTGAAATTTTAGGTAACTCTTGGGTTTTTACCTGTCATACCAAAAGCATTTGTACTACTTTTACCTTTGTCTTCTCTTAATTTTGCTCTTTCAGCTAAACTTTTTCCCACTCTCACCTTTTAAAGTAAACAATTGTATCATATCATAGAATAGTTTGGGTTGGAAGGGACCTTAAAGATCATTGAGTTCCAACCCACCTGCATGGGCAGGGACACCTCTCACTAGACCAGGTTGCTCAAAGACCTATCCAAGCCGGCCTTGAACACTTCCAGGGAGGGAACATCCACAGCCTCCCTGGGCAACCTGTTCCAGTGTCTCACCACCCTCACACTAAAGAATTTCTTCTAATGTCTAACTTAAACCTCCTCTCTTCCAGCTTAAAACTATTACCCCTCATCCTATCAGTACACATATATACTACTTCTGCTACTATTATCTCTCTAGCATGATAGATTTCAGTATGTTCAAACTGCTGAAGTGTTGGATTTGTGGTGGTTTTTTTTCCACATCTCCTATGAAGACAGGCTGAGAGAGTTGAGGTTGTTCAGCCTTGAGAAGAGAAGGCTTCAGGGAGTCTTTACAGCAGCCTATCAGTACCTGAAGGGGCTACAGGAAAGTTGGGGAGGGACATTTTACAAGGGCTTCTAGCAACAGGATTAGGGGGAATGGCTTTAAACTGAAAGAGGGGAGATTTTGGTTAGAAAAGAATTAGTATATACAGTACAATTAGAGAGAATCTATCAGAGAAAGTCTTGTGAATAAAATAATTAATCAATTAATAGCATCCATGAGTAGTAATTTACTCATTTCATATTAAGAAGAGCAGAACAACCTTACTGTGAATCACTTAGAAATACAGGCATTGCTCAGACAGTAAGTTCACATGGTACTTCGAGTAATCACATAAATGTAAAGCAGTATTTCAGAGAGAAAACTGTTAACAAATTGTTTAATGATGCATGATTTTATGTTTGTGAGCTTCTTTATACCAGCAGCTTCAGAGGTAATCACTGTAAATGAAGCCAGTGTTTTCAACAAACCCTCATACCACAATACTATCCAGTGAAAGGAACAATGATAACAAATCCCCAAGGGAGTGGGGGAAACAACCCAAGAAATCTGTTTTCTGGTTTTGTTTCAGAACAAGAATTTTGGAGGCCATGTAACATACTGCAAAATTTTTAAAAATGCATTTTGTAGAAATCAAACACAGCCTCTATTAATGTTCCATATAATAGACAATCATTTCCACCTTTCCACATTATCGGTGTCTGCCGAACAGTCCAGGTATGCTAGAATCTGTCTCTCCAAGTAACTGTCAATGTCTTCCTCCACCACAGAAGATGCACTGAAAACATTCTGGATGGCTGAGTTTGAAAATATTGCCTCATATTTCCCATCAAAAATCAGCTGCAATAATGATCCACATTCTGGAACAAAAGAAGAAAAAAAAGAAAACCGAAATCAGTGTCAAAGTTGAAATGACTTTGTCTTACAAGACTTATTTAAAAAATAAAACATATTCCACTCCCCTTTCAAAAACGTAACTTCATTTACATTGCAGGAAAAGTGCAGTTGCACTGAAACTACAGAGGAGCATTAAGCAGGCAAAATTTATTTGAAATAATTTTCAAATGAATGCAAAACGAAAACGTGCACTGAAATTTCTGAGGAAATATATGGATGGCCTTTCCAACATATATGCTACAGTTACTGAAGATTACTTCAGTTACCATAAGAGGGATTTCTTCCTCCAAAACATTTTATACGAGTGTGCTACAGAAAAATACTATATGTAAGACAAGAATTACACAGATTAGAGAACCTTTTCAGGGAAAATGTAACTAATAAAAATGGTACAATATTTGCAGAGTTCAGTAAATAAGTTCTCATGTAAAACTGCAGAAACTACTCATTCCTTCCTTTAAATGTTTAGAATATTCACAAAGAATGGGAAATACTATTATATCCTTATAAAACCCATAATAGGAAAATAATTCTTTACTACCTCAATTATCAGCCTGCATATGGAGTCAGATTCTTAGGAGTAACTACTAAGGTAGATTTAGATCCATGAATATTTCTCCACTGAAGTCTTTCAAGACAAACAGAAGTAATTAAATGCTGTACATGTAGTTCCTAAGAAGCTTCAAGCTCATCAAGTACTTGACACAGGCTACAACACTGTTCACAGAAGGTATCTTGCCTTCTTTCTTCAGATATGCAACAGTGCATCAATCCCGCAGCTGTCAGAACAACTTCACCATGTTAAAATCTTGTATTCTTGAGCATAATCAGTACCTGCTGACTGGTTTTAAACTAGCTGATGCTGGTAATGGTGCAACTAAGGAAATGAAGAGGTCTGCATAGGATAGGTGCCTTAATATTAATCTGTGGTTCCAGTTGGGGCCTGCAGCTCCCATGCACTCTATTACCATAGCTTCACTAATATTAGTACCCAAGCAAGTCAATTAAATTTACTAGCACAAGTTTAAATCCACACAGGCAGCAGCTGTGCAAGAAAGTGAACCAAACAGCAATTCCATGTTCATCCAGCTAAAAAAAAGTACTCTAAATTCCAGACATTTGGGAAGACCAAGCACGGAACCAACTTCAGTAGCAATGATGGATGACTTGGGAGGAATGGATGATAAAAGGACATTCATTCTAATCTCTCTGGACCAGGCTGTTGAACACAATTTACTTTTGCTCCTTGCAACAACAATCAGCTGAATGATGTAAAAGATTAAAAAACACTTTAGGCTGCACCTGGAAGGGCATATGCAACAGAAGAGTAATGGTTCTGCAGCCGTGCTGACATAATACTCTCAGAGAACTGAAATAATAAGAAACTACTGGTTGTGATGACACTTATAAAAATACTGAGGTTTTCTCTTTCCAGTATAACTGTAAGATAACTGTGACCATGTAAAATCTTGTTTTCCCTCTTATAAGAACAAATACAATTTCAAGGTCACAGTCTTTAACTTTTAGTTTCAGGATTATCCATAGAAAGGGCCCATATAAGAGATGACTAAGAATCATCACAAACCCCACCATTTTCTCTCTCTACTGCAAGACATTTTTCTTCACAAGGAGTCTGCCCTACACCTTTTAGCAGCACGCTACTTAAAAAAGCCCCCCAAACGAATCAGAACTTAAAAAAGCCCAAAACACCACAAAGGGCATACACAACTGTTAGTGAAAAGACCAATCTGACAGATCTCAGTCACATCATCCAACATTCCTGGACAGTACAATGATTACAGGTAAACAAGAAGTAACATAAAGAAACAGAGCTGAGTAGCTCTGTACAGTTCTTTTCCAAAATTCAGTAAGTGCTTGGGTAAGAATAAATGGGCCTTCTGATATGCTACAACCTCTAAATGCTTTAAACAGTGTGGCACACGACTTGGGCACAACCGTATTTCTAGCCTGTCTCATATGGAGTGCCATTTCATAGCAAATGTTACATTTTAAAAGCTTCTGGGTTCTCCTGCAGAAAAGCTGGGTCAGTAACAACATAACTGAAACCCCTCAGGGAACTATTTTTCGTTGTCCCCTCAAGCAGCTATGACTAAATAACTAGCAAAATATACAGCAGGTAGTCCATGCCAGGCGTTTACTCCTCACGTCTCCCTGCAAAAGCGAGTTCCGTAACACTGCCCGCTTCAAACAGGCAGGTATGTTTCCCCTCAGGCCGTGGGTCCCGAGGCAGTGGAAGGACGAAAACCCGCCCGAGATCCGAGGCGCGGGGCCGGGGCC